CGGACGTTGATTTGTGGGGCGGGGACTTTGCAGTGGACACTGTTTGAAAGTGGCGGGCTTCCTTTAAACGTTGGGTCCCGCCACTATTGAGTCGCTGGTACCTAGTTCGACTCGCTGGTACATCGTTCGACTCGCTGGCGCAAAGTTCGATTCGCTGGTGCAACGTTCGCTCGGATCCAGCGATTCGCTAGCGAATCGCTCGATTCGCAAACTATGACATCGGCCTGGCAGGACGCCGCTGCCCCTAGGGGAGGCATGTTGATGTAATTGTCTCTATTGATCACTGCATTTCTCTGATAGTCTGTGGTCTCTTAGTGACCCCGTACCTCGCCCCTGTTTCACCCTGTCTTAATCTGTTTTGACCCCTTTGGCGGGAAAGCCGCTATATAAAGCCACCACACCAATGTACAGCGTCTCTTTTTGTCCGACTACTTTTGGAGTGCAGCACTCGTCCGCCTATTGCCTGACTGTGCCGTCATTTCCTAACAAACTTTTCCATTCACTCCCGCCTATCCGGAGAACACGAAGGAGGGGACATTGCCCACTACACATTGCGAGCTATTTCGCTCTAAATGCTAGTGAGTGTGGAGCAGGGAAACTTTGAAGGGCGCCGCGTGTTCACCCCAGAGGCGAAAGCCGTCATAGCCCATGTGAAGCAGTTCTTCGCTAGGCTGAAAGAACATCTCGGGGCCACCTCGCGTGGAGCCGTTTTCGATTTAGTCACAGCGATAACTGCCACGGCGTGCGGCGTGAGTGAGCCTACTGTCACGAGGGTTAGCAACCCACCGGTCCGTCCTGTGAGTACGAGAGTGTCTAGCAAGTATTCTCGGAAAGCAGCGGTTATGACCGCCATGAATAACCTTGGTGCAGAATGGGGTGAACGTATAAGGCGACTGGTTCACGAGATGTTGAAGGAGGAAAGGATGTGACGGTCCTGGAGTTGCGGCAGGAAATGATAGCAGCCTACCCAGATTTTACATTGTCACCGATGACACTGTGGAGGCTACTTAAGGGTCTCGGATTTTCTTATAAGATCCTGAAAGGGCAGCGATACATATTTGAGCGCTCAGACCTTGCCCGAAAGAGGTCTTTGTATCTGAGAAAGATTGAAGAAGCCAGAAGTCGAGGGGACTGCGTGGTATACATGGACGAGACATGGGTGTTTGAGGCATGGTCAAGAAGAGAGGCTGGATGGACACCACGATGTCGCGTTTTCCCTCCGTGGAAGCCATACGGCAGTACTCTTGTGGTAAAACTGCTGGAAAGAACAAAGGGAGACACGGCATCGTCATTGCGGCTCTGACTGAGCTAGGAGTAGTGCCCGAGTGCACCCGTTTTCTCGTGGAAAGAGCGAACTACGCAGGATGGTTCCCAGGGTGAGATAATGGACCATAC